GATAATTTTTTCAAAGACCTTCCCCAGGATAGAAGTGAGGCTGACTGGCCTGTAGTTGCCAGGCTCTTCCTTCCTCCCCTTCTTGAAAATAGGGACCACGTTGGCCCTTTTCCAGTCCTCAGGGACTTGGCCCGAGCACCAGGAGTCCTTGAACAGCCATGCCAGTGGCTCCGCAATGACACCAGCCAATTCCCTCAGCACCCGCAGATGAAGGTCATCTGGGCCCGCTGACTTGGACACATCTAAGCCCTCCAGGTAATCCTTAACTAGGTTATCATAGGCTAGCAATTATTAATTATCATAGGCTAGCAATCACCCAAGCACTAGTGTAGATTATGACGCTGAAACTTTCTGGTCCAGTGATATAAGTGAAGATGCCAAGTGGACCATGACAACACTGTAGACTCCAGGAAGGTGTATCCTATATTAGATCTTGCCGGACTACCAATTTTACCTCATGTTGCAGTGACTCGTCAGTATTGATACTGGCACCTGGCTAACTGGAAATCTTAGGGATGTGGTGGCTTTTGATTAATCATACCAAAGTTATGTTAAAAATATAGTTCACATAAAGGAGCCTTGAACCTCTTCCATCCACCCTCTGGGGGTTTTTTTATTTCTTTTGGTTTGGGGCCTCTCTTCTGATATCTGGAAAAGACCTTCATGTTCCTGAGTGGTTCCAGCTATGCAAGAGCTGCCTTCTTTTCTCATTAAGCTTTTCAAATTCCTTTATACAATGTGTCTTAAAACAGTGGAGTTGCTTTTAGGTTATATGGAGAGAATGAGTTTCATTGGGTGTCTTGATAAACATCCCAAAGGGTAAACAGCAAGGGAAGGTGCTTTGGCTTGCATTGTGACTGCATCCATTATAACAGAGGAAAGGAATGTACCTCTTCAGGTTGTCTGAACCAAATCATCATTCAGCTTTTAACAACCCCATTCTGTGAAGTCTTTGACCCCTATGGAAAGGGCTGAACATTTTCTGGCATGCAGTAGGCCCCAAGCACCATTTAGGAGAGGATCAGACCATGAATCAGCATCATGAAAAAGATGGAGAGCACTTTATAATCCTGATTAAACTACCCGGTGTGAGTTAAAAAATTACCCATGAGCCTCAAAGTTGGTCTGTAACATGATTTGTATTCAGCAATTTAACTTTAAAAGGAGGCATTAAAATTGTTGAAAAGATTAGACATAAGATCATGCTAGAATATTCTACAGGTAATATGACTGGAAACATGAAATGACAGTCAAAGGCTGGAGATGTTAAATCTCTTCGGAAGAGATACTTATCAAAATTTTGAATTTTTGTGTTTGGCCTTGCTTGTATTGCCTAGAAAGGAGTAATAGGGTACAAGAACAATCTGAGTATTTGGCAGTTGGGTGTGAAATTAACAAATCACTGTTTTTAGTTATTTTTAAAAGGCTTTTAAAGGATTCTGCAGTGCTGAATTTCAGATCCAAATTAAAATGTGTACCAGATATATACTATAAAGGGTGGGAGCCACTGTACCTTGTCAGTAGATTGTTGTATAAATCTGGAAATTAAGATGTGGCCAGATTGCTACAAATAAAGTTTTTATTTCTGCTGCTCTATTACAGCAATGATACTCTGTGGATAATGCAGTGCTAAAAGCAGGAAGAGGTTGTGTGTAAACTTTTCTATTTAAAAATCACAGTTTAGTAACAGCCAGCAGATACAATAGCAACCATCATTTTCTGAGTATAACATGGGAAAGGAATCTTACAAAAACAGTGCTATATTTTATGCATTACCACCGGATTGTGTAGTTATCAGGTTGCAAGGACAACTTTCAAATGGTTGGTGTGAGGTTAATGGAAACAGAGAGAATTCATTATGCCAGGAATGTTTCTAAGAAACAGCCCATGCTGTTATGCAGCACCTAGCTATTGGGCAACATAGATTTAGAGGAGTTTAAGTTTTGTCCCTCTTGGAAAGGCAGCTGATGGATGGATGTGAGTCTGGAAAATGGAAAGAGTGCTCGGAGCATATAGAGGAGGATGCCAGAAACAAACTGTGTGGTGGTGGTGCTGGAAACAAATATTCCTACTAGCTTAATTTAACATGAGCCATCGCATCTGCAGTCACTGCACATCTAGTTGTTTGAAGGTGAAATTGAGATTGTGATCCACCCTGAAAGCAAACAGTGAATAATAATCATAACATATATCTTCCATCTGAGGATCTTGGTGCCTTTTGGACACTAAATGCATTTGAACTTGGCAATTCTCCCTTTGAAGTAAGTGTAACTCACTAGCTCCGCTTTACAGATGAGGAAACGGGCATGGAAAGGTTGTGACACCCCAGAGTTAGGCACTGAGTGTACCAGTGGTGGGGATGGGGTCCAGCCCTTCAGCCAGCCAGTTCTAAGCTTTACCTGTGCAACATTCTTCAAGTTAAGATGTGGCATTTTATGCTCAATCATGTATTAAAAATAATTGTCTCTTACCTACATACATCACACCCTCTTTAGTCTTCTCTGCAGCTTCAGTCACTCCCTGTTTCGTCTTTTCTGCAGCAGCTACCACACCTTCTTTTGCAATGGAGAAGCCTTTCTTAAAGACATCCATTCTTCCTTGATTGTTTTGATATTACCTGCAGGATTTGACTGAGGAATAGTGGTAAAAAGGCACCTCAGGACACTGCAATCTCAATGGCTGTTCAATTTTTCCCTCTCTGTCTCTTGCTATCTTTTGCTCTTATTCTTCTGCTGGATGAAAGCAGAGTGGTGAACTACGCAGCCTGTGCTAGCTCTTATTGATGAGATGCAGTGCAGTGTAGTCGATGCCTGTGAAAGGCTGATACTGAAATATTAATGATATGGGTCTGCTTGGTAAGGTTTGGGAAGGGAAGGGAAGGGAAGGGAAGGAAGAGGGAGGGTGGGAGGAGCAGGTAGGTGAGGATTTTTGGAAAAAGTCCAGATTGTTAAAGCTTTTAAGATCTGCTGCAGTGCCCTCACTCAAGGATGCTCTGCAGATGCTCTTGTCTGGAAAGAGAGGTTTTAGCAGCTAAACTCTAAAGCACTGGAGTTCTGAAAGAACTCCCTGAGATTATGGTGGGTAGAGCAAAGGGGAGTTCTTGAGGGTTACTGGAAGCTGGCAAACATGTACAGCAGGTAGCCTTTTAAACTCAACAAACAGGGTCTGGTTTCTTTTGCTTGCAGTTATCAGAACGCATACAGAACAGAAGGTTGACAAGAACATCCCAATGCTCTCTAACAGAAAGAAAGAATAAGACCCTTTAGCAAAAAGCTGAATGCACAACTAAAGGGAGTTGTAATGTTTATTTAAGTTAGTAAATTTTAAAGTTAGCATCACAAGGCACTTAATGCAAATTAGGGATTTTTCTTTGCCTGGACTTCATGTTATAATCATTTGCCTTTGAAAACTCACATTAATTTGGGGGTGAAAATCCTGTTTCCTATTGATCTTTGTGTTGCTATAACACATAGCTTAGTTGCTGCAGAATGATGCTATATTTTATACAGGCATCATCGCTTGTGTCAAGAATCTGTGTTGCAGGGTATTGTGGGGAAATCAAACCTTTGAGCTGACGGACTGTGAAAATCTTTTAGGTTACCTATCAGACCCATCCAGAATTAAGGCCTCAGTTCAGCAGAACACTTAAAGCATTTTCTTAATTTTATGCAAACCAGAACTATTCAAGTACTCTACAAATGTACTAGGTTGCTTTGCTGAAACAGGTCTTAAGTACTGAGTGGTATAAATAGCTACTGTCTTCCTGAGCAATTGAAATTCTCAGGAATAGCTTTGACAGCAGTCTTCATGCTGTTTCCTAATGTCATCCATAGCATTGACTATGTGGTCATATAAAAAGTTGACAAGGTCATTTTTATTATTGTCTTGTATATTACAATTATGTATGTACATGCACATGATTGGGGTTTTTTCCCATCTTCCATTGGAGAACTGGAAAAGAACAGTGATCTGGAAAACATTACGACATCATCTTTTATCTTTTATTTCTAAGAGGTTCTTGATGATGACACATAGGAGGCAATTTGTATTTGCATTGAGAAGATTCAGACCTCTGATAGATTGTAAGCGCATCAATCATTAAACATTTAATAAATGAAAAAATAGGAGCTATACAGGAAGTCTCAGAATATACCGATTCTGGTTTGGACAATTCTAATAAAGAAAAAATATGTATGCTGTACCAATACAGATCTGATTGAGATTGTGATTGTATCTGTTTTTGTTGGTCTAGGTCAATGATTCTCAGCCAGGGTGCTGCAGCACCCTAGGGTGCCATGAGATCCTTTTAAGGTTGCCGTGAAATTTTAGCAGTTACGAGTGCAAACACCTACATATGATTCACAAAATAAACATAGGGATTTTATATAGGAATCCATAATGTTAAAAACATTCTGACCTGGTTTTTCTAAGTTTTTTGCAGTAGAAGAATGTGGCGGTTATTTTTCCATATTCAAAAAATGAGTGAAAGGTAAGAGGACATTTTGCAAGGGGTGCCTTGAGTCTTAATTAGAGGTGTCTTGAGTCTAGATACTTCTGGCGGGGAGCACCTGAAAAAGGAAAATCCAATTTGATTAGCTGATCGGCCATAGTAGCCCAAAGATTTTTGCACTTAAAATTAATAGAAAAACTGCCATTGACTTCTAGAAGAGCAGGAGTTGGTCCTGCATTTCTTCAGTGCTTGCTAGTAAGACAGAGTCCAGATAGCATCAACAGAGAGAGCTAAGTTCCAGCCAACCTGAGACAACTGTAACAAAATTATCACCTCAGTTCTGATATTAAGAGATAATGAATAATATAGGAGGCCCCAATTCAGCAAGATGGTATAGCATGCATCTGCCTTTAAGTACAAGTAAATCTTCAGTAGGGTGACTCATATGCTAAATACCTTGTTGATTCAGGGCCCAAAACAAAATGAACTGGGAGAAAGTTTAATTCGATTTCTTCCCAAAAGAGAGATTTCTCTTATTGCTTTTTATTTAAAGGTTTTAATTATAAATGGTTACAAAACATTACTGGAGGATGAGTAGATGATTACATTACTAGAGGATGAGGATTAGAAACACTGCAGATATGAGCATCATACATACATATATAGATTTATGAAGTGTAGATTTTGACCTTTCCTTCCTTTTTCATGTCCTTGTGACAACGTATTTAGCAGAATTCACAGATTCATTAGAATATGACAGGCCCCATCATAAGCGCTTCTGCTATGGCCTTGAACCTGCAATCTCTCAGCTGTCAACCATGCACCTTAGCACCTGATTTTGACATATAGGCCTTAAATAGTATGAAATAAATACCTTTTCTAGAGTATTGTTTCAAGTGTTTCCAGGGGACATGTTTATGAGAGAAGGCTGACAGTAGAGTAGTCTGTGGGGTTGGAACTCTGGTCTCAAATAGTCTGGATTTCCCACCTTTAGGGAATGCCTCAGGGCTCATGTCTTCCAGGTCTTTGAGGAGTGTTAGGGAAGGATACAGTACTCTCCAGGATGCAAGGTATCAGTAAATATATGAAATATCAAACCACTATGGTTTCAAGTCATTACTCCTTTAAGGGCTTTTGTGCACTCTCCTTCCTTGATGACCCTGAAAAGCAACGCAACAGAGGCACTTAATATTTTTGGAACATACTCCAATGCTGAAAGCAGCTTATATTGGTATTGTATTACACTAAAACCCTTTCAGGAAGGCTCCGGATTCAAGACAATATCATAGGCTTAATAGTAGGCATAATTGAAAACTTCTTTACATTGTCACTCCACAGCAATTTTGGTACCATATTTTCTATTCTAAGGAAGCTATCCACAGTCTTTTATTATGGATTTTGCTCTTAGCTACTCAACTTAAATATGACTTAAGATCCATGTTCTATAAGCTTCTGTATAGCATTGGTTTTAAAGCTGTATGCACAGCCTTATGCCTGAGAATTTCTCTCTTTCCATTTTGATTAACTTACAGCAATAGTCTGCAATTAAAATTTAAATTAATTGGTTGTATATTGTACACTAATTGAAAATGTCTATACTGTACATCAATGGTGTAAGAGTGATGTTGTACCCAGAAATTATATGAGCGGCAAAGATTTCCTACCTTTAGGTAATGCCACAGGGCATGTTAGACAAACTTTTGAATGCAAGACCTTCTTCCTCAGGAATGTCTTGCATTCAAAAGGTTGTCTAACTTTATCCCAACAAATTTGCTCTACTAAAAGATATCACCCTAAGAAATTCTTACCTCTATGCTGTATATCATCATTATTATTATTACCTATCAAATTTCTTGATTGAAGGTAGATACAATAGGCAGTTTGTACACCTGGAGTTTACTTGTGAATATTGATTATTAAACTTGGTATGACATTTGCCTAAGAGGTCAAATGTGGTACTTAACTATTGCAACAGCCAGATCTCTTACTCAAACTAAAAATACTTTATTGCTACTACTGTAATGGGGCTAACTTACAAACTTGGGTGCATAAGTCAGAGTACCATATTAAATGTTTAGGTACGCAAATTAGCATGTAGGAAATTAAATAAATACCATAGTTTTAGTTTACACTTAACCATCTTGTCAAGATATGTTTGTTGAAAGTAGAAAGAAGTCAAAATGTCCATTTAACTAACATATTGAATCTTATTTTAAATTCAAAATCTAGCAAAAAACAGAGATGTAACTTACATGGAGTAACAGGAAAACATGAGATAAGGCAAACTCATTGCCTGTTAAACCTATACATATTGTTTATTTTTGTTCATCTTATGGATCAAAACTATAATATTTAGCTGACCTGCATAACAGAAAGAAATCACTGACTAGTATAGTAACTGTCAGAGCAATGGAAACCTCTTTCTATAGCTTTTCTCCAAATAACCCTTTCTTAATGTATATTAGGAAAAAGTGCAGGAAACCTTACAATTGAAAATAAGATACATTATAAAAACAGGTACAGTATTAAAATGGAATAGTACATAATCAACAAATGTGTTAAACAATACCCCAAAATGTATCCATTCCTGCTAACAGCCTATCCAAATAAAAAGGTTTTACACTGTTTCCCATGGATGTCCTAGATGTCCAGGCTCAGACTGATAGGCAAAGGGGAGGGAATTCCAGAGCTGAGGAGTGACTACTGAGAATGACCTTCTGTGAGTTTTTGCCAAATAAACTTGGCACACAGATGCTACTTACAGGAAGTTAAGCTGCTTTGGGTTGTCCTTAGGAATTGCAACCTTAGGTATGTAGGGCCCAAGCCACTTAGGGCTTTAGCAAGACCAGCATCAGACCAGCACCACCAGAACTAGTCTTGCTAAAGCCCTAAGTGGCCCAGCCACTTAGGGCTTTAGCAAGACAAGCACCTGGACTGCTATGTTCTTCTGCAGCTCCAAATGGTCCTTGAGGATAGCCCAAGTACAGTGCACTGTAGCAGTGTAGCTTTGAGGTTACAGGAACATGGACAATGGTGATCATATCTGAACCTGAAAGAAAGGGGCACAGCCTTCTCATCTGTTGGAAGTGGTTAAAGACACTTCTAGCCACTGCTGAGACCTGAGGATCCAGGTGTGTCAAAGACTCCAGGAGTACTCTAAGGCTACAAACCTGAGTGATAAGAGAAGGCTGATCCACATCAATGATGCATGTTTCAATCCTTCACAGGTCAAGCAGTCTAGTCACTACCATCACTTCTCTCATCTGAATTCAGTTTCATTTGGTTCAACTGCATCTAATTCCTAACTGAATAAGGACTGAGATTGTGGGGCCTTGGTCAGATGAAAAAGGGAGAGAGGACTCATAGCATCCAGATGTGCCCAGAGCTGTGGGGCAACCACTCATTCAATAACGTTCCCTAAAAACAGGAGGTTGGAGCTAGGGT